TCCAAACTCCTTAGCACGGTGTTCTAGATCTTTTATGGTCCAGATTGTCCTTGCCAACCTTCCAGGCACCTTCTGGTGCTCCCACTGCCCCCCACCCAGTCCACTCTCTAAGTCTCTTCCATTATCTTTCTTTTTTTTTTTAAAGATCTATTTATTTATTTGGGGGGGAGGGGCAGAGGGACAGAGAGAGAGAGAGAGAGAGAATCTCCAAGCAGACTCTCCACTGAGTGTGGAGCCCTACTTGGTGCTCGATCCCACAACCCTGAGATCATGACCTGAACAGAAACCAAGAGTCAGATGCTTAACTGACCGAGCCAACGAGGCACCCGTCTTCCATTGTCTTTCACAAAGCTCCTCTGCACACTCTGTGCCCTCTGCCTCAGAGGCCTCTCCTCCTCGGCTCTTCTTGGTGAACTCCTATACATCCTTCAAGACCCAACTTAAACATTACCTTGTCTGGATCTCCCTTTGGCAGAATTTGACGCTCCTTCTCTGGTGTATGTCCCTTATAGCCCCTCTCACAATGCTGTACCTAATCCATCCACGTGTCTCTCCCCTCTCCTGGACTTAGTAATCATTTTGGAGGAAGAATATAGAGAGGGACAGGTGTGTGTGAATTTTTGCAGGGTGCATGCATTTCATACATCATTCATTCCATAAACATAAATGCAGCCTAACTCGGTACCAGGCACTCTCCTAGGCCCCAGGGGTACAGCAGTGAACAAAACAAAGCGCTACCCCATGTGTGCGGCACTGTGGCTGTACAGTGTGGCCTGTGTGTGGGGTTGCATCGTGCTTGCTGTGGACCTGTGGTATTTGTGGCTCCTGGACACACAGCTCCCGGAACTCTGACCCTGGGTGACCTGCTGATAAAGGGCATCTTAGGAGTTCATTAGGACAACAGGCTGTGTCTCTGCACTAATGAGAAACTCAGTGGGGGTGCTCTCTGCCCCCCCCCGCCCACCTCTCTGACCATCACTGCCTGGCCTGGGTTTTGGCTTTCCAACCCCAAGTCAACATTCATCCACATGAGACTTTCTCTAGTGTGTCTGTCTGTCTCCCTCTCCCTTCTCTGCCTTCCCTATGTCTCAGAGAGAAAAGGCCTAGGGAGAAGGGAAAGAGGAGGAAGTCACTTTTTGTACGTGCCCACCATGTGCCAGGCCTGTGGGAGGCAGTTCCATTCACATATATCAGAGGTAGTCAGAAAAAGGGCTTCCTTTGTGCCAGGCACTGTTCTAGGCTGTACCTCTATGAGCTGGGTTAATCCGCACACCTACCAGGTAGGCGATGTTACTGTCCCTCTATGCAGATAAGAAACTGAGGCTTCACATGGAGAGGAAGAGACGGAAGTGGGATTCAGGCCACGCAGGCTGCGCTCGGTCACCGCGCTGCATCGTGCTCACTGTGTGCACAGGGCACCCCTCGTGGGCACGAATCGTCTCTCTGTACTTCGGAGGAGAGGGAAATTGCCCTGATCTAAAAGTACCAGAGGTGAGAGATTCCAGATGCAGGGGTGTAGGTCCAGATGCAGGAGTGTATGGGCTCCAGATGCAGGGGGATGAGGCCCAGATGCTGGGGTGTGAGGCCCAGATGTGGGAGTGTAGTCTCCAGATATAGGGGTATATGGGCTCCAGATGCAGGCGCGTGGGGTCCGGATGCAGAGGTCCCTTGCCTTAAGGCAGTTCCCTGAAATGCCTCCCCCATCAGACAGCGAGGTACCTGCTCTGGGCAGGACTTGTCCATTCCCAAGCCCTTCCTGCTGCGGCTCACCCTGGAGGCCCTTCTGACGTCAGGGTATCTCCGGTCCCCCATCTGTGTGCCTGCCCAGGCTCTCCGGATCCTTTCTTTATCTGGGTAGCCTCACACCAAACATAGCACCTGGCACACAGCAGTGTCTCAGCAATGATTCCTGAACTGAAAACAAGGGTTGGTGGAAAGGCCAGTATTGCGTGTGGCATTGGGGGGGGGGGTTCCGTGTATGTGTCTGTTTTGGGGAGGGGGCGGCTCTCTGCCCAATCCCTCACGAACCCAGCGTAGGGTACAAAGACCGAGCTGGATTCCAGCAGCCACAGGATGGGGGGAGGGGAGCCTGGGCCCAGAAACCTGCTTCGTGGCCCGGCGGCAGTCATGAGAGGCTCTGTGCAGCTGGTACTAGACTTCTCAGCAGGTCAAAAGGGCCAAGTGGGTGAGTTCCTGGGGGCCAGGGGTTGGTCTGCTTTATGCCCTGCTCACAAGTCCCTGTTGGTGTGGATTGATTTGTTTATTCAACAGATAGGTCCTACCTGGAACAAGCTCAGTTAAGATCAACTATTCCAGTACAGTCATGATGATTTGGAAGTTCGAGGCCATGAAAGCCCAGAGGTGGGGCTCTAAGCCACCTGGAGTGGCAGTCAGGGAAGGCTTCTTGGAGGAGTGCCAGGTGATGAGAAAGGCGAGAGAAGGGCATCCAAGAGTAGGCAATGGATGGGGCAAAAGCATATGGGCTGGAGACAGAGTCTGGGAGTCACGGCGTTATGGAAAATAACTGAAGCCGGAAGAATGGAAGGCCAGAGAGCAGCCCCTAGAGTCCCAAGAAGTAGCATGGGGACTCTCTGGAGAAGGATGAGAAGGCAGGACAGACCTCAGCTCCTCCCACAGCAGGCCAGGGATGAGAGGACAAGCAGGGGCTCAGAGTGGACCTGTGGTTCTCCCCTCAGAGGATGCCAGGATTCTGGGCTCAGCGCCCCAGGAAGAGTGAACCATGAACCCTTAAGTGTCTGGGCCGCAGCAGAGGCTGGCTAGGGAGGCTGGGGCCCAGCCAATGGCAGGGTCAGGCGCAGCAACTCCTCCTCCTAGGCCAGAGGCACACCCAGGCTGCCTGCCCGACTCTGCAGGCTCTGTCCCGGGAATGTGCGGCCCAGACACCCTCCCTGGTTCTGACATGAGTTCCAGCTGCCTGCTGAGTCTGACTTCCAGCTACCAGGAGCCATTACACAGAGGGCCCTGAGGAGTAGCCACCCAGGTAAGGTCCCCTGGGTCCAGATGGACCCTGGCATACCTGGCAGAGGGAGACTTCTCTGGTGGCAAGACCAGAGAGGTGGCCCGGACGTATCTACCACACTGTGTCAGATGGGAGAGGAACGGAGGGCTCCTCCCTCCTCTGCTCTGCGTTCTTCCTGCTCTCCCCAGCTGAGCAGAGGTGGGAGCCAGGGACCGAGTGCAAGAGGGGCTCGCAGGGGTTCCAGGACCTGAGCAAGCAAAGCAGCTCTGCCTGGGCTTGCTGAGTCCTACCCACCACACCCCAGGAGGGCTGGGCCAAGAGCCTCTGGGGACTGAGGGCTGGAGCCTCCCAGGCAGTTCCCTGTCAAGTTGCCAGGAGTTCCGCCCACCTTACGCAGGACTGAGCAAAGACAAGCTGATGATTCACGACCAAGCAGTAGGTGGTAGAGACAGAACAGTGGAGAGACAGGGTGAAAGCAGAGACACCTCCAGTCTCCTTTACCTGGCATCCACCTGGTGAAGGAGAGGTTGGGCACAGACCAGATGGGCAAGCAGCTTCCTGCAACTTAAAGACAGGGGCCCAGGCCCAGAGTGTGGTTCAAATCCCAGCTCTGCAGCTTCCCAGCTGTGCAACTATAAGCAAATTAATTAACCTCTCTGTGCTCCACTTTCCTCATCTGTAAATTGGGAATAAAAAAATATCATACCCTTTCATACAGTTGCTGTACTGGTTCATGCAAAGTGCTGAGAACAGTGCCTGGTGCCACATAAATACCCAGTAACCGTCGGCCCTTACCACTACCCTGTTCATCTGTAGCAGATCCCACCGGCGTTCAGGACGGCATGGTGACCAGTGCCTACACGGGCACCGGGAAGGGCATCAGGAACCCCTTAGAGCGAGAGGCAGTGCAGGCTCCCTGAGGTCCCAGGGGAGCCCACAGTGCCTGGGTCTCAGGGGACACCCCAACCTCCCCGTCACAGCCCCTCCAGCAACCAGGCAGAAGAATTCCAAGAGAGGAAGTGGTAGTCTCTTGCTCTGAATGGCAGTCACGTTCCGTAAACTCACCAGCGAAACTGACCAGAGCAGCATTTCCCAATTTGCTGTTTTGACAAGGCTGTTCCACACAATGATTTAAAAAAAAAAGGGTTTTGTGGTCAAAGGAGTTAAGACAATGCTACATTTTCCTTCTCTTTGGGGGATTCAAGTGTCAGTGTATGAGCTTGGTCAAGGAAAGAGACCTATTGAACTCTGCTGAACCTATGGTTGCCTACCTTTCTTGAACACAGAATCCCTTTCTCTCACTGCGCTTGTTGCCAAACCATGGGGCAGGGTTCCACTGAACACCAGTTTGGGAATCCCCAGAATACCAGGATAAAGGATAAAGAGAACCATTGTCCCCTACTTCATCTTTCAGCTGGATTGCCACTGGCCTTGCTTCAAGTGAGCTGCACCTGAGCAACACATTACCTGGATATGTCCTGAGCGTTAGACCAGACGGGAGTTTGGGGACAAGGTTCCAGCAGCCTCTCCTGCCCAAGTGAAGGGCAAGGAGCAGGTTCCCCTTAGGAGGGGCTAAGAGGAGAGAGCGGAGCTCAAAAGGAGAGAAGTCTTCCCAAGGCTCCGCGCCCTGAGGAGGAGGGCCAGGGTTGGAACAGAGGGAGAGGGCAGAATGTCCCACCTACTTTAGCCTTCACTCTGCAGGACCACAAGACCAGAGCCTCGGCCCCGGGAGGAAAGAGTGGCTCCCTGGACCCACCTTCCCCCACTTTTATGGGTTCTGGATTTAATTACCTGGGTTCAAATCCCAGCTCCGCACCTAAGAGTTGTGCAACCTTTATAACCCCCCAAGCCCCCCTTTCCTCCATCTGTAAAATGGGGACAGTAACAGAACCTAGCTCCTCTGTGACTGTGAGAATTGAATACAGATGATATATTTCCATAGGTGCTCAGAGTCAGTATTCTAGAAATGTGGGAAATTATGATTATTTCCCAGCAGGAACAGCCAACACCTGGGTCCACTATGAACTGGGGAATCTTCGAAGGGCTCCTGAGCGGGGTCAACAAGTACTCCACAGCCTTTGGGCGCATCTGGCTGTCTCTGGTCTTCATCTTCCGCGTGCTGGTGTACCTGGTGACGGCTGAGCGAGTGTGGAGCGATGACCACAAGGATTTTGACTGCAACACCAAGCAGCCAGGCTGCTCCAACGTCTGCTTTGACGAGTTCTTCCCTGTGTCCCACGTGCGCCTCTGGGCCCTGCAGCTCATCCTGGTCACCTGCCCCTCGCTGCTCGTGGTCATGCACGTGGCCTACCGGGAGGCTCGGGAGAAGAAGCACCGAGAAGTAGCGGGGGAGGACTGCGGGCGCCTCTACCTGAACCCCGGCAAGAAGCGGGGCGGGCTCTGGTGGACGTATGTCTGCAGCCTGGTGTTCAAGGCCAGCGTGGATACTGCCTTCCTCTATGTGTTCCACTCATTCTACCCCAGATATACCCTCCCTCATGTGGTCAAGTGCCACATAGCTCCGTGTCCCAATACGGTGGACTGCTTCATCTCCAAGCCCTCAGAGAAGAACATCTTCACGCTCTTCATGGTGGTCACGGCTGCCGTTTGCATCCTGCTCAACCTCATAGAGCTGGCCTACCTGGTGAGCAAGAGGTGCCGTGAGGGCTTGGCAGCGAGGAGAGCCAGGGCCACCGGCGTGGGCCATTGCCCGGACTATGCCACCTCATCCTGCAAGGGGGACGACCTCCTCTCAGGCGACCTCATCTTTCTGGGCTCAGACTCTCACCCTCCTCTCCTACCAGACCTCCCTCGAGACCACGTGAAGAAGACCATCCTGTGAGAGCCGCCTGGTCAAACCTGGTGGAGAGGGCCCAGCATGTCCCACAAGTGCAGCCTTGGGGGCAGGCAGCAGGGAGGGTCCGGCCCCTGCTGCAGCTGTGGGGCCTTGGGCAAGTGACCCCTCTGAGCCGAACCTTCATTTCCTTTTGTGTAAAATGGAGGTGAGGCCCACGTCGCAGGGTGGTTGCTGTGAGGAGGGGTTTATTTAGAGAAGGGATGTGCAAGTACCTTCGGGGGGGGGCACGGTCAAGGCTTAATAAAAGTCAACTCATCCACTTGATTGAAGGTGCCCTTCATTCCTTCAGCCTTTGCGACCCTTCTCAGGTCACTGGGTCAACTTCTCTGCCCCTGCAAAGGGCTGGACCTGATCCAGCCAGGTGAGGGGACCATCCCCTCCCCTGGAAGAGGGTCCCCAGCACTCCTGGGGGTCATGCCACCTGCTCATGCTCAAGACAAGCCTTTATCCCCAGTTGCAAATTGAGGTCCAAGGGCTATCTGCAAACATATGGGACTTAGCCTGTGGAGAACTGTGTGTTGCAATGGAAAGTTCATGAACTTTTGAGTCAGAACACTTGGATTTGAACCCAAGCTCCACTGGGACTCTGGCAAAGGGACTTCAGCTCCTCTCTAAAATGGGTTAATAATACGGAGACTGGGGTGGGGGGGTGGGGGGGGACTGGATGAGCTCATGGCTGTGGATGGGGTAAGCCAGCTGTAAAAGGCCACATAAATGTTAATCATTGCTATTAGGAAGTGCTCAATAAATGCTTGTGGGAAATGAAGCAGAAGAGCCCCTCCCCGGCTGCACTTTAACCTTCACTATCCCAGCCACCAGGACAGCCAAGACGCAGGCCCAAGGCCCCTCTGAAGCCCCACTGGGAGGTACCCTGACTTCCCTAGAGGCCCAGGTCCATAGAGGACGGACAGCGAGGTTGTGCCTGGCCCCGTGCCAACTGGGGCATTTCATGCTGCTGACCTGCATTCTTCATCTCTGCCAAGGCAGCGGGTATCCTTGTCGAAAAGAACCATAATCATCCCCTCCCATCCCCTACACAGCTCACCAACAGCCCAAGCTCTAGTCCCCAGAAATGTCCCCACCAGGGTGGGATGTGATCCCGGGCTGGATCAAGTTGGCCCCTTTCCATAGATGTCAGCTACTGAGGACCTCAGGACCATGCTTCCGAAGAAAAGGGCAGGAGAGAGGCCTGGGGATGGAGGGACCAGGGGCAATAAGGCAATGGGAAGGGGCTAGGGGCAACAGATAGGGGCCACTGGTGCTGACCTGGGCCCTGGCATAAAGATACCAGGCTCCTGCACTGTCCGCCCCCTAAAGACAACTTCACCCACATATCTGCCAGCTCAGGGAGCCAGACCCAGCCCAGCCCATCCAGGCTGGAGAGAAGGCGTGGGCCAGGGGAAAAGAGCCACAGGTGTTTGCTCTGAATCTGTGCCCGGGGAAGTTCACCCCCCTGCCCACCCGCTCACTCTCCCTTGGCTCATTGGCTCAGAAAGCTCCACCCAACAGAGGCGTGAGGAACAAAAGCTGCCTCCGGGAGGCCCCCGGGCAGACAGACCAGGGACCGGAGAGTCGGCTAGACCCAGGAAAGGTGAGGACCAAATTGGGCAGGAGACCGGGCTGGGAAGCAGGGACCAGATGGGCTGAGGATTCCTGAGAACTCGGGCTGCAGGCTGGGCTCCTGGGAGGAGCAGAGGGGACAGAGGTTCCCTGGAGAAACCTCAAGGAGGGAGAGGGATGTCCTGCCAGACCAAAGGGAGGACAGAGGACCAGAGAAGAGACAGGAAGAGGAGGGACCAGGAAGAAGGAGTTTCAGTTCAGCAATATCTACCATGTGTTCACCAGGCCAGGCCAGGTGCTGAGTGCTGGGGAAACGGATGGATGAGCTGTAGAGGCTGGCCCTCCAGGTGCTGACAGTCGCACAGGAGACAGGAAAAGAGACCATCTGAGTACCAGTGATCTATTCTGCAGAGGAGCGTACTCGGAAAATGTCCCAGGGTCACAAGCTCTGAAGATGCTGAGGTCTGAGTCAGGGACAGGGGAGGGGCCGGGGCCAGAGATGGAACCTGATGGCGCCCCAGATAAGGGGGTGTGGAGGACAGAGTACACAGGGCAGGGGCCTGACCGGGAATAATAGGAGAGCTGGCTAGCAGAGAAGGACAGTGTTCCTGAGAGCAAAAGCAAGTGTTGGGGGGAGGACCAAGCCAGAATCCTGCCTCTGTCCCTTCCCCAGTCCCTCCCTAAAGGTGAAATGGTTGGAATTCCAGAGGAACCCAGTGTGGTCAGGACGGTCGGCACCGGTGCGGGGGAGGGGTGGTCGATGGTGCCAAACCCCCACGGTTCCAAAGAGCCTGCTTAGTCTGGGAGGAAATGTCAGGGCTGGGGATGTCCTGGGCCTCTCCATGAGGACGGATATCACTCAGGGGTCTGCCAAGAGGCCGATAGGAACACGCCCAGCACAGGGTCTGGCTCCCGTTGGGTGCTCAGTAGAAGTCGGAGGACGATAAAGACACACCTCCCTCCCCTCCTGCAGCTAAAGGGAGGGCAAGTCATCCAGTCCACACCTTCTTGCTGTTTCTGTAGAAGTCGTGTGATCCGCAGGGCTCAAACTTGGGGTCAAAGAAGTTGGCGGGTGCGTTGGTGTGAGATGATTATTGTCCCATTTATCCATTGCTTCATAGAATAAAATCTTCCCTGATTTTGGAACTGGAAGGTGGGGGTTCAGCACCAGCTCTGCCACTTCCAGCTGGGGAGCCTTGGGTGGGTGCCTCCCTGGGCCTTAGCTTACTCCCCCGTGAAACTGGGTAACGGCCATGCCGACCCCACCAAGTCATTGCAAGTGAGGACGTGATGACAGAGTGTTGGTGAAAGGGTTTTGCCAATTGCACCTTTAATAAAGGGCACCCATTTCCAGGCTCTCCCGGCCTCGCAGCCCCCACGCCACGAGTGGGTGCTCACAAGTGCAGACGGTCCACGTGAGGAAGCCAGGACACTATCAGCATGAACTGGGCATCCCTGCAGGCCCTCCTGAGCGGCGTGAACAAGTACTCCACGGCGCTGGGCCGCATCTGGCTGTCGGTGGTGTTCATCTTCCGCGTGCTGGTGTACGTGGTGGCGGCCGAGGAGGTGTGGGATGATGAACAGAAGGACTTCATCTGCAACACCAAGCAGCCGGGCTGCCCCAACGTCTGCTACGACGAGTTCTTTCCCGTGTCCCACGTGCGCCTCTGGGCCCTGCAGCTCATCCTGGTCACCTGCCCCTCGCTGCTGGTGGTCATGCACGTGGCCTACCGCCAGGAGCGTGAGCGCAAGCACCGCATGAAGCACGGGCCCGACGCCCCGTCCCTGTACGACAACCCAAGCAAGAAGCGGGGCGGGCTCTGGTGGACATACCTGCTGAGTCTCATCTTCAAGGCTGCTGTCGACGCTGGCTTCCTCTACATCTTCCACCGCCTCTACCAGGATTATGACATGCCCCGAGTGGTGGCCTGCTCCGAGTCACCTTGCCCCCACACGGTAGACTGCTACATCTCTCGACCCACGGAGAAGAAGGTCTTCACCTACTTCATGGTGGCCACAGCTGTGATCTGCATCCTGCTCAACCTCAGTGAGGTCACCTACCTGGTGGGCAAGAGGTGCCTGGAGACCTTCAGTCCGAGGCGCAAGCGGTCTCGGCACCGGGACCACCTGCCCGACACGTGCCCCCCATATGTCCTCTCCCAGGGAGAGCACCCCCAAGATGGGAACTCTGTCTTAATGAAGGCTGGGTCGGCCACCGTGGATGCAGGTGGGTTTCCATAACCTGTGAGGTCGGTAGCAAGGACCACCAGGGCCGTGGTCTGTTCCCTAAGGCCACGGCAGGGTGGTGGCATCTTTTCTGCGGCAGGGCAGGTGAGGAAGACGGTTGCAGGGCTCGGGAAGCCCACCCAGGGGCCAGTGCTGGAGAGCAGTTTGGTCTCTGGGTCCTGAGCCTCAGGGGAGGGAGGTTGACGGCTGGTGGGAATTTTGTATATGGTAATGGCATATGTGAAAACCGTTAATAAATATGATTTTCCCAGTATGTTGTAGACCGGGTGGGGCGTGGTGGGTAGAAGTGTCAGGGGGGTTCACCATGGACCTCAGAAAGGAGGCCACAACCACTCAGTGAGCACCTGAGCCCCGGGACCTCAGATCCAAGCTCATCCATCACACACACCACACACCACACACTACACGCCACACACCACACGCCACACGTCACATAACATACGCCACACATACACACACACACACAGTGCACCCCCAGGACTTGGTGGGAATGCCAAGAGGCTGCTCCAGGGGTCTCTGGACTCTGCAAGCAGCTGGCCAAGGCAGAAGGAGTGAGACCCCAGGAGACCCCGGGCCCAGCGTGGCTCAGTTCTCAGAAGGAGTCCCTCAGGTGAATGCATGTAGTTCAGGAGACCTCCGCCTCCACCATGCCAGCCTCCCTCACCCTGTCCGGCCCAGGTCTCAGGGAGGCGAGTCTCCTCTGAGGGTGGGAGGAGAAGGCCTGGAGCGTGTGCACGGTGCTGAGAGCAAACCCAGGACGGGGAGTCTGCCAGGACGTCCAAGAGGGCTATCCCCACAGGCCAGGGACCTGCTGAGAGCATCCGAGCTAAAGGGTCCCTCAGAGAGCCTCACGTCTGAGGAATTCCCCTTCTCTTCCCCGGACACACATCCCCTCCCCCTCCCACCCCCTCCCCCACCACTCAGACCCAGACCACTCCCAGAACCGCACGCCCAGCCGGGACCTGCCCCTGAGTCCCCGAGCCTCCCACCATCTGCCCAGGGCCCAACCCTCCGGGAGGCCCCCAGGTCTCCTCCAGTCAGCAGCTCCCGAACAGACCGCACCCACCCTTCCTCACACATCACCCACCCACCCCACCCCAGGAATGGCGTGCCAGCCACCCAGCTGTCTGAGCCAGGAGCTGGCCTGACTTCCTCGTGCCCTCCCATCTTCCAGCCTC